GACCGGCCCCGGTGTGACGCCCCCGCCCCCAGGTACTTCAAGCAGGTCGTCAAGGCAGCCCGCGCGAACGGACCGGCCGGGCCCGGCGAGGACCACAGCGATGACTTCCTGGGGCGCCTGGTCATCCCCGTCCGGGTGAGGGCCCTGTGGGGCGGGGACCCACGCCCACCGTGGCCGTCACCCCGCTGTGGGGAGAGGACCGAGGCATGACCGGCCTGAACCCCTCCCAGGAGGTGCCCGTGGCCGGGGTGGACCGCTGGTTCAAGCTGGAGCCCCGCTCCAGCGCCTCCCGCGTGCAGGGGGACTGCCAGCTGGCCCTCAAGCTGATGACCACGCAGGTGGGGCCCCAATGCGCGCGCCCCGCACCCCGCCCTGCACCGGGGCCGCACGCCCTTGCCCGCACCTTGCCAGCGGGCTGGGCCGGGCTGACCGCAGGCCCCGCCCTCCAGCGGGACACGGCCATGAGCCGCAGCGGCAGGCCCGGCTTCCTCTCCTACCTGCTGCTGCTCAGCCGGCTGCTGCAGTTCGAGCACCTGGCTGAGGAGGTAGGGCCCCAGCCTGGGGGGCGTGGGGGCCGGGGTCCTGCCGCCCGCCCACACCTGGCCTCTCCCAGCCCAGCTCCAGCAGCTGGTGCGGCGAGCTCAGCGCGCCGGCCACCACCGTGCTCTGCCTGCTGGGTGCCCAGAGCGGCCTGTCGGCGCTACAGCTGGCGGCGCTGTGAGTGGGCGGGGCCTCGGCAGGTTGGGCGCGAGTGGGTGGGACCCTGAGAGCCAGGCTCCTGGCAGGGCGGCACCATCCCCGGGGTATTCTGGAGCTGGCCTCGCCCCACCTGACCCCAGGCCGGGCCCCACAGGCACTGGCAGGTGAGCAGCCGCCACCATCAGGCCCACACCTTGGACTACAGCTACCTGCTGGGGCTGCTGGAGGACCTGCAGGCGCACTGGGCGGAGGCCGCCTGCCTGCCCCAGGAGCAGGTGCGCAGGGCCGAAGTGTGTCCCTAGGGCGTCCTTGGCCCAGCCGGCAGCCGGCAGGGAGCGGCGCGGCCCTCGCGGGGGCAGTCGCCTGGGGTGGTTGGGTGGCAGCGGCGTGAAACGGTGGACTCCAGGGCCAGGGGGCGCGTGGTCAAGGGGCGCGGGCGCCGCCGCGCAGAGGCCCTGGCCAGCCTGTCCAGGCTGGGCGGCGGCTGAGGTGGGCACTCGTTGGCGAGGCCCGTGGGAGGGGCTCTCGGGCAGGGCGGGTCCCAGGGCCAATCCTTGCGGAGTCGCTGGGCCGAGGGACGCGGGCCACTCTGAACCGCCCACCAGGAGGAGGGCCTGGCCGACAGCTTCTCCGCCTTCGCCGCGTTTGGGCTGGGGCTGCTGCGCCGGCTCCGAGACTGCTTCCCCGCCACCAACAGCACCGCCATCGCCCGCCTGGAGCTGCTGCTGAAGTGGGTGCGGCCCGGGGGGGTGGGGGTGAGGGCCGGGGCGGCGGGGTGCCCCAGCCAGCACGTGGTCCCGGCCCAGGTGCCTCGGCAAGCTGCAGCTCTTCCAGCCCCTCTGTGCGGCCTGCCCCTTGGAGACAGAGCTAAACGTGGACATCGCTGCTGCCCTGGAG